CTAGAAGTCGTCTTCAGTGCAGTGATAAGTGAATAATACTGTAAGGTGATGAGGTTAAAATACTCACCTATTAGGCTCAATCATAGAGTAGCAAAATATTTTTAAAGGGTTGCTTCTATTTTTAAACCTCCTACTGAGCAGCTGTAGCATTTGGTAACACCAGTAGGAAGAATATCCAAATCTGAAATTTCAGAGCCATTTCCATGCTACATTACTAATTTATTGGCTTGACACCAGTCAGGTCCTTTACTGTTTATTAAGCTTGTATAATAGAACGGAAAATAGTTTGCAGTCAGTAATGCTCCACATATGCCAAAGGGATTCTATAAATACCAAATAACAGCCAGAGGCAGGGGACAGGACATTGCTTTGCAAAGAGAAGACAGATAGTTAAATGAACCATCAGAATTGAACATTTCAAGCCGTTTTCACATGTGGCATCTGAATACTGTTCTGAACGATTCTAGGGAGCTGGAACATGGCCTTTCATGTGGATGGTTTTGAAGTTTTCCTTTAAGATGCCATTAGAAGCTGCAGTCAAGCCTTCAGTGTGCTCTTACACCTCAAAGTAGGTTATGTTTATCCAATGACTACTTTCTATGTCAGACATGTCTTCGGGCTTAAAAAACAGCTGGTAATACTGCAACAATTTAAAAGTGGTCGATCTGATTTTCTTTCTGGGATTTTCATTGATGAGAACAAGCCAGATGTATGAAGACTGTGAAACGGAGTTCATCTCCTAGAAACCCCATCCATATTCCAAGCAAGACTTCAGGTACCAGCTTTGTATTTCTCATCATAGTGTCAATGCACCACACTGACTTTCGCTCTCTATAGATTACACAAACCTTTGATACCAAACTTCCTTTCGAGAGATTTCCCTCAAGACTGTGACACCAGTGCTGCGTGCAACCAGCCAGCACCTGGCAGGCAGGCTCTGCCTTGAGTTAAGAGGCCAGCCCTTCCAAGATATGCATCAGACTTGAATTGAAGCCAAAGTTTACCGCAGAGTATGTAAAATACCTGGATGTTAAGGCCCTGCAATTCTTTTCTCTAAAAACAAGTCTCCACTACTGCATTAGTATCTGACATTAAATTCTCCTGGCTTTGGATTCATGGGTGTCATAAAGTTACAAAGACTTTTGTTTTCTTTAAGGATTGTGCTTTTAAATTATTTCCATGGCACAATGGCTATTATTGGGTTTCTTATACAAATGAGTGTCTTGGATTTATGTGTGTTATAAAAATTTTTTTTAAACGACAGCCTACTAACTACAAAATAACTAATACGCATCACTTTGATGAGAAATATCACTTTGTAAAAGTTAAGAATTTATTGTGGCTGTCAACAGCTTAAACATTTTAAATTGACCTTGTTCAATCCCTTAATTTTTCTTCTTTTCTAACTTATATGAAACCATGATCATCTGTATTCTATTTTTCATGTAACAAAATAGGTTTTAAATGAGGTTAGCCCTGGCAAGATCATGTAGGAGAGAGAGGATTAACTTATAAATGACCAGAAAATGACTTCATGATATAACCAATCATATTAATTATAGGGTTAGTATCAAAAGATAACGGGAATGTTTTTAAATTTATGCAAATATATTCACAGAAACAATACACACCAGACAGTATTCTAATCATGGCAATGGTGGGAACGCAGGCGGTTAAAATATGCTCTAGCAGGATGATTCAGAGGTAGGTTGGAAGGGACGTGTAACACATTTGAAGAATTAGAGGGATTCTTTTCTTTTTAAAAAAAATTTTAAAATCATTTTATTAGGAGCTTATACAACTCTTATTGCAATCCATACATACATCAATTGTGTAAAGCAAATTTCTACATTCATTGCCCTAATCATTCTCAAAACATCTGCTCTCCACTTAAGCCCTTGGCATCAGCTCATTTTTCCTCTCCCTCCCGCTCCCCCCTCCCTCATGAACACTTGATAATTTATAAATTATTATTTTGTCATATCTTGCC